TTCTTTCTAAACTATCTACTCATGTCAGATGGCACATATCGAGCGTTCATTTTTTGACTCAAGCTCTAGAGGGGCGGAAATTCTATAGCTGCTACGATTTTTGACGACTTACATGAAAACGGATGTCCAGAGAAATTCACAGCACGGCACTTGAAGGTGAACACGAATACTAGGAACGAACGGGTGTCCGACGTCCCTAAGAAAAATATGTTCATAACGCCACCATTCAAAGGCGACCAAAGTGACAAGAGATTCCGATACCATCACCACCAATCCATGAAACCGCATTATTACGCCGATGAGCTTGTACTTTTGCATCAAGTTAATAAGTTGCTGTTTAAATCCAACCTGGGCAAACCAGACTCTCGAGTTACCGCCTCAATCATTTAACTGTTTCGCTGTACTTGCGGTAGCGAGTACGTTGGTAGAATTGAAGAAACACTGTCCACAAGGATTTCAGACATAGTCCTCGAGACCTGGTCGCGAATGGTCAAACGCTGCCTGCCAGTTCGATCTTCCAACACACACTTGATTGCTTCATGTGTGAAAGCCCTCGTGAATCAAATAGCATAATAAAACAACAGAGAGTCGCCCGCCTGCTTCAGTTCACTGAGGCTTCTGCGATTTGGCGGCTGAAATCCAGTTTGTGTAAATAGATCGAGTTTGTCACCAGTTTTGCCCTGCGTTGGTGAGGCTGGTGGCCACATTCCTCTCGGTGGTGTGCTGGTCAACATCAGATGAACTTGACCGTAGCCTGCTTTGATGGAAGGACTTACATCCGGGTCGTATGTATTGATTATACAGCAAATCACCGACGCCTATGATAACCGGTATCTATGATCTACTCTCAGGAACGTGTACAATTTTGTCTAAGTTAGTTGGAACGGCGTGTGACATGTCTTTGTAATACCGGTAGCTCTCAATATATCACATAACGACCGGTTAACAACCCGTGTTCCACCACTGCAGCGAGAACTCACTGTAATCGTAATTTACAGGAACTATTGCTATCCCCGGGTGACCCTTAGCAGAGCTAGAGACAATTCCAACTGAAAGAAAGGATGTACCCTACTCGGAGGTGGCCCCACATTGATTTTAAGGAAAAGCACCGGTAAACCTTAACAAGAAATATATCAGTGGTTTTAAACGGATTACCGATCGAGTATGTGCAAAGCGTGTGTATAGGTATTTCATGCATTCTGCACCGTTTGTTGACAGTGGTGCAGCTTCACGCCGGCACGTTCTTCTGCAAGAACCTGCTCCAAGAACCGCATCCTCCATTCAGTCTTGCTCAGTACGCCATCCGGATCCTCTCGAAGCATCTTGGAATATCGCCGCCTCATGTTTTATTTAACGTAGGCCTTAATGATACTCCAAATGCTTTCGAGTGGGTTCAGTAGTGGAGATTACGGTGCCAGTTGTATAAGTTTTCCTGAATTGTAAGGCTCCTGTTATGCGGACCCAAAGTTATAATTATCAAAGGCTTAAATTACGGAAGGCTGAAAACCCGATTCATACAAGTGCACATGTACTCAGACCAGACAAAACGCACACGTTCAATCAGCCTTCCAACTCGTGAAACATTCACATTGTTTAGCCTTTGCACCCAGAAACAGTCTTGTTTCCAACAAAAAACACGTATTGTTGTATCTAAGCAACATTTATTTTCCGTACAACTCTCGCCAAACTTCCAACATTCCTGCTCAGTTTACGGACTTTGCATATTTACATAAAACCATGTTTCTTGCTTCCAGGGTTTGCGTAAGCAAACCCTTCCAAGGGAAAACCCCCCTTTATCACCGTTTCGTGATATAAAAATGAGGCTGTACAACGCTAGAATCGCCTTAGCTTTGGCCAGTAAAAGCGCCTGTGGCAAAAGGCCTGTCTTGTTCTTGATTCAGTCTCGGGTTGGGAAATCGTGCGTAGAAACTTTGCGTTCGGTCTAGGAACCCGTTCGACTCGCGTGAATTAATCTTTCGCGGCTAAGTTCCGAGAACCCACAGACTTCGAGATTGTCAGTTACCGTGCTGTGCGAGGAAATAATTCTGAGTCTCGTTTCGTTCATCCGACTAGGAGAGTTGGTATCACATTGTTAGAACCTGACGTATTCAAGAGGCAGTATTCAACAGCTCCACTTGGAAGTAATGCTTCAGATCGATGTGACAGGTTCGTCTCATCTATCCATACCGCTCGCCGTCCTTCTCCCTCCAAGTTCATCAACTTAAACATGTACGCCTTCTTTAGTCTTTTGCTATCCTTCGTATTCATGGATTGCGGTATTGCTTGTAATTTCTTCATTGCCATGAGACGGCGGCTTAGGTAGCGAGCGACTGTGCTGACACTCAAGTCCACCTCGAACTGCACCATCAGTCGTAACCGAAGAGTTTTCAAGGTAACCGTAGGGTCCAATTCCTTTCCATTTCACCAACAATCCACGTGACTAGCTGACAGACACTTTCGGCGTGACATGCTACCATCTCTTGTGGGCTCATCCAATTATAATGTTCTAATCCAGCTTCTACATGTCTTCACATTTACCCGTAACAGAGACGCAATGCCCTACCAGTTGTTGCCAACTTCAGGATAAGAGCCTTTACATCGGATGGATGACGGGCGTACGTTCCTCTTCTTCCCATCGAGCCTAATGTGATCTAAAGGTTAAAAAACCATATAAATCAAATTAAAGACAAACTTGGTAGGTGAACAATGAGGAAGATCTTGTGTTCGCCTTGCCCGCCTCATGCGGTTCCCGTTCAACCAAACAGGGGGAAAGCATAAGTGACAACTCCGCTGACCAGAGACGGACTATCGGAGTCCTATGGACCTTTCCTCTTATAAGTTAGATGCGTGAATTCAGCTTGACGTTTCCGAAATAAACTGATGCCCCCGTATGCCAAGCGCGTGTGATGTCCACCGTGTGGCTATCACGTTGTCTAGCTCAGACCATTGGGCGTAATGGCCCCGAAATTTTGCACTGCTCACACATTCCACACGTATGCACAATTACGCAAGGTCTCTCATACGAGGTCCAAGGCGGACTCCTCAGTGCGATCTGGATAAAATTTAGATGGGTATTCGATTAAATTTTCTGCATCACGGACGAAAGCTGATGCGTAAAAATTAAACAGATTGCGTTAAGGCTGAAATCAATCGAGAAATGGTATAGATCGGTCCATCCTGTTCGAACTAATTACGCTACAGTGTTACCATGAAAGATGCAAACTTTTCCCGTGCCCTGTACTCGAACACGAAAGGCCGCGTCAGGGCCTACAGTGACTTATCAGATATCTTTCGGACCGCAAGCGGCATTCGACAGGATGCACAATTTCCCATTTTTATTCAACTTCCTCATATAATCCATCATGAAGTGTTCTCCTGCGGAGCCTCACAACGTCAGCGTCGAGTTATTGGCTGGTGATTAGCTAGTTAAACTTGCCTTTGCGGCCGAAATTGTCTTACGGTACAACGATGTTCGGGTAGCTTAGTCAAAAATCTATAAACTCTCAAATCGTCCCATGATTTGACATGCCTTTCGCACTTTCAAAGTTCAATGTATTGTTGCAGACTACCAGACGACTGATAACACCTTGACCCCTGAATTTTCAGTCTGGTTAGCTCGGTCCAGCAACTTTTTACTTCAGCGATCGCTACTGTTTTGTTTTCTCATCTGCTTTATATCCTTTTTCCGTTTCTAACGGTGAATGCTTCAGAGGATAAGCCATCCACGTATATGGTTAGTGTCGTAGAGTTAGGCTCCCCACCTTTCTAGGAGAATGACCCGTTAGTATGATTTGCAGATGTAGGATCCACTTTTTACAATTGCAAAATTCCCTCTGATCCCGCTAAATATCACCAACTTAGGTTTCGGCTTCCGCAAATTGTATCCTCTCAGGTGAGAAAGATCATCTCTTCTCCCCCTCCGGATGCGAAAAATGAGAAGTTAAAGTAGACGAACTTCCAGCGAATCAGCCCTCTGACAAGGTCCGATGGCAGCGACTATTTAGGGATCTGAAACTAGGGGACAAGATGCAACAGCTCTTAGACACCTCCAACATGGAGGCGGGGATTCGTTGCAAAATCGCCTGCGTCGTACCGATGCACGTCACATGCGATTCGATTGGAGGATCGAGACAAACATTACTAGCTCAGTTATCCTAACATCCACCATCGTGGGCACATTCGAGTATCTAGTTGCCTCTTCACCGTAACATTCTGTCAGAACTTAACTAAGATCCGTGCTCCTTTCAGCTAGCTACCGAACCGGAGGCTACTGCAGTCCCTGTCCAGGACGAGAACTGAATCTCGAGCACTATGACATCCTCTGACAACTTAAACACGCATCTAACCAAAGTGACATGCATGACCCTGTGCGACACAGTATCTACTATCAGTTCTCGCAGATGGTATGGCGGATCTTTTAGATACTAGCGTAGAAACTGAGCACACGATCAAGTAGTATGGTACTTCTTAATGACGCGCAACCTATAGCTGATGCGTCCATGACTTGCGGTCCGTACACGCTTGCTGATGATAAGCCTGGAACTTCAGCTGCCACTGGCATACACGCAATCCTTAGTTGCAGTCATCGCATCTTCCGGTTCAGACTGTTCCATCGGCAGATGTGCGCTTTCCAACTTCCGTATCAACATAGCCCTGCAGTAAGGCCAGAGGATCTCAGCTCAAACTCAAGAGGTTATTCTTCTACACTTATGTCAGGTTACTATCTTGACCTTTACGTTACACGTCAGTCAATATGTCGCTTCACGCACGTCAGAAGCAAATCAACTTCTTCGTCGTTGCTGACTAGTCACGTATAGACACTCTGGCACGTCTGCACGATAAGACACGTGACACGTAATCTATTAGCTGAGACGATCTGGACACACGAAGCTTCAAGACCCACGCAAGACTGCCATGCGCTATTTCTTCCATACTCTCATGAAATACATGAGAGATATTTCGCGATCAAAGACGCAAGTTCTTAGTTAGATCTGCGGCAGCGCGAGAGGCGGTTCGTCAGCATCACACTGGTGGATGGGGGGGGGGGGGGGGGGGGGGGGGGGGGGGGGGGGGGGGGGGGGACGCCAACCTGATCGGGTCATCCAGGTTGAGTCCTATTTTTTACGCGACATCACACTCATTTGTCACGGCTCAATTCAACTTTATCGCCCCTAACATAGAGGAAGGGTCCAACTACGAAGCGATGCTGCACACAACTGGTACATGTTGAGTACTTTTGAGATGAACGAAACCAAGTCCGTTCCAGTCTTCCATCGGGTACTATGCTAGCACTTCTGGCTGTATCTAGCGCTAAGGTCTTTGCGGTGAGTCATACAAGCTATGTCAGCGCTTAAGACTGTTTCACCCGATCTCGACACACACGCTACTCACAGGTCACATGTCTATGCCTATCAGTCGTGCTGACAAGAATAGTACGCACTGCGTTATATCGTCTGCTCATGCCATCAGGAAGTGGTCATTCGTGGCTTGGGAATCATCTAGCGGCTTAATGCGTGCGAGTACAGGATGAGCGACACAATTGAAAACGTCCACGACAGACAATCGACGCTGGCAACTGAACATCACGCCGACCACGTGAAGCGGAGATCATCCAACATGGCTATGCACCACTACTCATCACCACTAGATAGCCGTTCTAGGTCAACAGACAGTTTCCTATCATGCATTTGTCGCTCATAACCCCGTGACGCAGTCTCGAGGCAACCAGCGCCTACTCACCTTTGACGTACTCTCGACTCTAGCAATACTTTAACATACTTTACCTAGTCACTGATCTATTCTAATACTTCTTCCACAACTGATGCGCACACCTCAAGACTCTTTAGTACTCGTCTCTCCCTCATCTAGCGATTATCACAATAGGCTCTTATGCGACTGTGTATCACCTAACGCACAGTTGCGCACCGAAACGTCACTGCGGTCGCCCATACACACGCGGTGGAGTCCCGCGTCGTACGTCTCATAACGATTCCACTTGACCAAGCGCATCTGTGTAGTCTACCTGAGAAAGTCTATAGGTTGAGCTGACTGGGCTACTCACTTACTCTTAGCGATCAGCTGCCTCCGATAGCACAAGATTGTAACAAAATCGCAGTCCTTAGATCATCGACACGACATCTGTACTTGGTGTCTGCTCATTGTAGCGGTGTTCCGCAACCCTCAAGCTGATCCACTAAAGACGGTACCACGTAAGGCACACTGAGTGGTTAGACTACCGATACATATTTGAGGCGTTGTGATTTTCTATCTTAGCGCACTTCTCCGGTTCTACATCACTACTGATCGAGGCCAGGTTTCTACACGCTACTCCAGATGGGTTCACTCCCATCCCACACATACGCAGGATAGGAACTTGTCATGGCGCCGATAATGATCTGCATAGCAGTTGTAGACTGTTTCTTCAGTAGGCAGTCTCTACAGCAAGCTGCGTATCTGACTTAAGAGCTGCTATCAAACCAGCCTACTAAAGCTCTATTGCTGTTACATCTGCTCGTGTCTGACGCTCACTGGCCTCCCACTCCAAACGCTCGATATCACTTTCAATGTTACTCTGAGTCAGCAAGGTAATATGGAAAGACACTTCACGTCAGCGCATCCCTACATACTGATCTGTACCGCATCCATCCTTCTCTGGCTCCAATGCTAAATGGACCATTCTCTTCGGACTGTGCTGTCATCTGTAAGCGGAATACCCGAGCTCAAGATTATGAATACAGCAACTTCTAAACACTGCTCTCTGACATCAACCATTAGACATATGCAGGGCGAGAGAGCGCTACATGCTCACCGGTCTCGACAGCGTAACTTATAGTTTTCGAGTCTAGGGCCGTGATCGCGCACCAAGTCATATGAGCATGTAGTCCGTAGATGATGACCAGTCTCAGACGGCGAAGTACAGACTCACTGCGGATCAGACAACTCGCACCACTACCTACAGTACTCGTGCATCGTTTACCAATCATTGCTTAGTACTCCATCTGCTACGAATGATCGCAGTATAGACCTAATCATACGAAACAGAAGGATAGCAATAGAGAACTATGGAACAATCCAACTGGCAGTAGTACAATCTTACTCCTCTAGAAAGTATCCTGAGAGACTGCGTTTCATCGTCTGGTATGGAAGTCTCTTCCATGTACAGCGACGACGAGAGCTTTTTTGCATCAAGAGAGTTACACATTAGCTGCATGTGCGAGTGGATTTTGACATGCTCTTCATGTGCATGACTCATGTTCTGAGTGCATATGCTTGGCTATGGTTGCTTATATGCTATCTGCCCTAATACGAACGGCGGCGAGCACGTTCTATCCTAAGCAGTATTGGTCAGCATCGATTAGATCAGAGCGCACGACAAATCGTCAAGCGATACCTCTCTGGTCACTCTATCGCACGCGTTGAACAGAGAACTCGGTGCGGAGTTCGGAACGGGAGGTAT